GTTGATGATGGTGGTGTAGCAGGGGAAGAGGGGGAGGGAGGAGGATGAGGATGGCAACACGAAGCCATCACGTGAGTGATGTGCAGAGACACGACGCGACATGGCTGCCGTGTCCACATGTTCACAACGCACGCAAACTGCGAGGCAGTAGCGGGCATGTTTGCATGTGCGTGTGTGCGTGTGTGCGTGTGTGTGCGTGACGCACATGTCGCATTGCGGTTGGGCGTCCTTGGGGAGACACATGATGGCCTGTGTGCCCGTGTTGTACTTGGTGCAGCGGTTTGTGTCGCACGTCTCGTTCGTGCGCAGAAGCCTGCAGGCAAAACAACAATGCAGAGCAAGCAGTACACGGCGCATCGCAGGTGAGAAAAGGTCGGCGAGAGTGAATGTGCGTGCGTGTGCGTCTCACATGCAGGCACACAACCAGCCTCACACACATGCACACACACATGCACACAGCAGCAGCCGAAGCATTGTCACACCAATCAACCAAGCAACTATTCTTCACGCATGGTTCACGCACTTGCAAGGAACAGTGAGATCCTTTGGAAAGCAGAGCATGTCGTCCTGGTGCCACTTGCACTTGCCGGTACACTTGCTCTTGTCAAACTGAGACGAACACGCCTCCGCCTGCAAACGTGTCCGTGTGCGTGTGCGTGTAAGTGTGTGCGCGTAAGTGTGGGCTTGAGGATGACAGAATACAAGAAGAACAACCGCTCGGGCGAACAACATCATACATACACACGCCCACATAACGCACACACACACACGCCCACACACGCCCACACATACACACATAACGCACACACACACACACACACCTCGGCCTTGGACATGCATGCATTGTTGGTGTATGTGCAGCGCGAGCCGGCTTTGCTGCACGCGGCCTCGTCAAACATCAGGAAGCAAGGCAGCTGGTCGTGCGCGCCGTAGCAGTAGCCCTGAACACGTGCAGTGCCATGACGATAGAGATGGAGAGTAAAGGGGCGGAAGGGAGGAAAGGAGGGAGGGAGGGGACGGAACGCAAGCGAGCAAGAAAAGAAGGAAGGGAGGAAGACGAGGTGAGTCGAAAAAGTGAGGGGCACCGGAGTCTCAACGAGGTTGTGGTTGCGATTGTGGTGATCTGTTTGAAGTTTCGTGTGTTGTGGTTTGAAACAACTGCAAGCAAGTGATGGCACAAAGCGCTTGCGCGTACCTGCTCCTTGTCGTACTGGCAGCGGTCAGAGGGGCAGTCCTCGTAGTACTCTGTGCAGGGAACCTGGCCGTTCTTCTGGTAGCACACACGCAGCTCCCTGATTATGGTGTGGGGGTGGGCGGAACACAGCGAGAGCAATCGCCGACGTGAGTGGGGAGCAAACGGCAAGCTTAGGTGAGCGCACAGACAGATGCACAGAGACACACGGACGGAGGGACGGATGCACAGACAGACGGACGGACGAACAGACAGACACACAGACAGATCCACACAGACAGACAGACAGACAACCTCCCCCCTCCCCCACTCTCTCCCTCTTCCTCACCATTGGTAGGCGCAGGGCCCCACGTCCTTGGGGTCGGCTTTGCAGGAAGAGTGGTCGCGGTAGTCACGGCAATCAACCGCACGGCATGCAGCTTGTTGCTGGTCCCAAATGCATGTTGTCTCAACCTACAGCGAAAACAGCACGGTGTGAGTGGTGGGAACTGGCAGAAGCGGAACACAATCACACACAATCACACACAATCACACACAATCACACAGCCAACACGCTGTGTGCCCACCATGTCTCGCACACAAGCATGTATCCCTCTCCCAACACCCACACACACACACACACCCACACACACCCACCCACCCACACCCACCCACACACACACACACACACACACACACACACACACACACACACACACACACACACACACACACACACACACACACACACACACACACACACACACACACACACACACACACACACACCTCGCAGTAGTCCTTGGTGCGGGAAGAGCAGTCCACAGCGTGGCAGGAAGGGGCAAGCAGCAGCTGCAGCAGCAGCGCCACAGCGCCAACAAACACAAACACACCGCCGCGCACCATCTTCGTTCGTGTGGGCAGTGTCGAAATACCGTGAATGATATCCACCAATCGTCCACAACCAGAACGCAAGACGAGAGAGTGTCAGTGCGTGCATATGAGCGCATTTCCAGCCACTCAGCCAACCAACAAAAGCATTCATCAAGCGTCCTCACTTGCCTCACATCACATCACTTGATACCAGCGATAGCAGCCAGCGACAGCTACTCGACGTGACAAGAAAGAAGGCAACGATGAGCGAGCCACGCAAGTTTGATCTCCTGGTGCTTGGCGGCGGCAGCGGCGGCCTTGGCTGCGCTCGCCGTGCCGCTGAGTTTGGCACAAAGGCGGCCATCGTGGAGATGGGCCGCATTGGCGGGTGCGTTTTGACATGAAAAAGTGCACGCGTTGTTTGGCTGCAACGCATGGCCTGTACCCCCCCCCCCCTCCATTGTGAAAACTGATGATGTTCTCCCTCACCGTTGTGACTCCATTCCCCCCCCCCAATGTACTCTCACTCGAACGCATGCGTGCATGCTCGCACACAACAAACACCACAGCACCTGCGTGAACGTGGGCTGCGTGCCAAAGAAGGTCATGTACTACGCTGCCACCGTGGCTGAGACGCTGCACGACGCCAACGAGTACGGCTTCGACGTGACGATGAACGGGCCCTTCGACTGGGCCAAGCTCAAGAAGAAGCGCGACGCGTACATCAAGCGCCTCAACGGCATCTACGACCGCAACCTGGAGAAGGGCGAGATTGAGAAGATTGTGGGGCGGGCCAAGTTCGTGGACGCCAAGACGGTGGACGTGGACGGGCAGCTGTACACGGCGGACCACATTGTCGTGGCGACCGGCGGGTTCCCGACCATGCCGCAGGTCCCCGGCATCGACCACGCGATCAACAGCGACGGGTTCTTCGAGCTTGAGGAGCTGCCGAAGAAGTCTGTCGTGTGCGGCGCCGGGTACATTGCCATTGAGATGGCCGGCATCCTCAACGCCCTCGGCAGCGATGTCACCCTCTGTATCCGCCACGAGGAGGTGTGCGTGTGCGTGTGCGTGTGTGTGTGTCTGTGTCTGTGTCTGTGTCTGTGTCTGTGTGCGCGTGCGTGGGTGCGTGTGCGTGTGCGTGTGCGTGTGTGTGTGTGTGTCTGTGTCTGTGTCTGTGTGCGCGTGCGTGTCGTCAACGTCGTCGCCCTCCCTCCTCAGCCATGCAGCTCATGCCTTCTTCCTCCGTTTCCCCCCTGCCTTGTGCACGTGCGATGGCAGTTCCTGCGGACGTTTGATCCGCTTGTCCGGGAAGTGGTGATGGAGGAGATGACCAAAGCCGGCGTCAAGATTCTCAAGAACTCTTGCGTACGTCACAACCACGCGTCATGTGTGTGTGTGTGTGAATGTGTCGTTGTTTCGTGTTACATGTGCCAGTGACACATTGACCACTAACGCCTGTGCTCTCCGTCGTGCATACGTGTGTGTGTGTGTGTGTGTGTGTGTGTGTGTGTGTGTGTGTGTGTGTGTGTGTGTGTGTGTGTGTGTGTGTGTGTGTGTGTGTGTGTACAGATCAGCAGCATTGAGAAGACCGACAGCGGCCTCAATGCCAAGTTCGCTGTCAAGGGAGAAGAGGTGAGCGTCACGACATGGCACTGATGAGCTCTTGACTGCTGCTTGCCTGCAAGCATGCCTCTGATTGCTCTTCTAGCACTCATGTGGTGCTTGTGTGCGTGTGTGCGCGGCTCCATGTGTGCGTGTGTATGTGCACGTTTTCACTGTTGCAGCACGTCATCTCTGGCTGCGACACGGTGCTGATGGCCATCGGCCGCCGCCCGCTCACGGACATCGGCCTCGACAAGGCGGTACGTGCACACAGCAGTGATGATGACAATGGTGGTGGCTGTGACGAAGGAAGACGTGCCATGGGTGCTGTGTGCATGTATGCCAGTCCAATTGCGTTCCCTCGTCCTCCAAGTGTCATCACAGCCCTCACACACACTCTCTCACTCGCACACACACTCACACTCACATACACACATACTGGCTCTCACTCTGTCGTCTTTCCACTTTGGTGCGCCTGCAGGGTGTGAAGCTGACGCACAAGGGCCACATTGCTGTTGACGAGTGGCAGCAGACGTCGGCTGCGAATGTGTATGCGCTCGGTGATGTGTGCGGCAAGTTCGAGCTCACCCCAGGTCAGTCGGTCGGTGCGTGTGTGTGAATGTGTATGTGAATGTGTGTGTGTGTGTGTGTGAGTAAGTGTGTGTGAAAGAGACTCTGCTCGTGCGTGCGTGCGTGTGTGTGTGTGTGCGTGCGTGCGTGTGTGTGTGTGTGCGTGCGTGTGTGTGTGTGTGTGTGTGTGTGTGTGTGTGTGTGTGTGTGTGTGTGTGTGTGTGTGTGTGTGTGTGCTCAGCACGTGTGTGTGTGCTTGTGTTGTTCTCATTGTTCAACCACACCCACACGCATGGGTGCAGTTGCGATTGCGACGGGGCGGAAGCTTGCGCACCGGCTGTTTGAGCCGAACCCCAAGTCGAAGCAGGACTTTGAGTGCATCCCCACGGTGGTGTTCAGCCACCCGCCAACGGGCACGTGCGGCATGACGGAGGACGAGGCGAAGGACGCCTTTGGTGCCGACAACATCAAGATTTACAAGACACGCTTCACCCCAATGTACCACGGTACGGCGCCATGTGTGTGCATGTGTGTACATGTGTGTATGTGTATGTATATGTGTGCATGTGTGTGCATGTGCATGGTTGTGTGTGTGTGTGTGTGCATCTGTGTATGTGCATGGTTGTAGTTGTCTCATCCCAGCCGCTCCCCCAATGTACACCCCACCTCACCTCATTTCATCCCTGCGCGCGCTGCCAGCGATGATGGAGCGGAAGACGACGACGGCGATGAAGCTTGTCTGCGCCGGCCCCGAGGAGCGGGTATGAACACACCACATGGG